TGACAGTGGGCTACCCTCTCTCCATCCTATCATTGTGACCTTGATGTCCAGGTGTGACAGTGGGCTACCCTCTCTCCATCCTATCATCGTGACCTTGACATCCCGATTTATTGATACTCGTCTTCTTCCTGCTTCCTACTCTTAATTGTCAAGAATGGATAAATTTATTGTTTTCATCAATAAATAATTTTTATTTAAAAGAAACCTTAATTTATTCATTTCTTTTTAAAAAAGAATTTCTTCTTGTTATGTTTTATGAAAACATCTTTCAATAAAAACTGACTCAGGAGGGAAAAGGTTCTGTATAATTTTCCATCTGCCATCTTATAATAAATTGTATCCCATGAATATACAGATGTAAATATAGACTATGCTTTGGTGCATTTGGAGAATGATTCTGAAAAGCTTTAAATAAATTGCTACAATAATATATCATTTTGATTAGTATTTTTGTTTTTGTCGTTATTGTTATTATCAGTTATTATCATCAACACCACCATCATTCTTCACCATGATTTTAAAGATGCGGAAATGTCCCTCTTGTTTCTGGCCATCTAATATTCATGTGAAAAGTGGATCTGGCAGGATTTAGCAAGGTTACCTGAAGAGCATTGGCTTAGCACTGCGATACTGATAAGAACACGGAATAAAACGTCAGTGGTCTCAGGAAAACAAAAGCACTCAAAAAGTCAAATACTTCCCAGTGGAATGACGCCTTACATAGAATGATACGTAAATTAAGTATATATTTCAGTAGGCGACTTGTTGAGCGTCCCTACGGGGTTTGTGCCGCTTTGGGGGGGTACGCTCTCAGCCATATGCACCAAACCTGTCTGAATGGAAGGCTTTACTCCCATGCCTCTAGCCTATTCTGCCCACTGTTTACACGCCACCATGCTGATATGCATTACTGGCACTATCAAGGTAATGCTCTTCCTTGAGCTTGCTGACATGATTCTTCTCAATATCATTATTCGTTATCCACTTGATTTGTACCCTCTCTCAGATAAATCAGGTTTTGCCTTCTGAGTATTATTTTACTGAAATTTAGTATTATATAAAGTACATGTAATAAGGGGAGAGAGGTGAAGTCAGGTGAAAAGTGCATTCTGAGAGTAATAGTAATAGTGCTATAAGACTAATATTACTAATAATGAGTAATAGTATTATAATTAGTAATATAACTATAATAGTAATAGTACCCAAACCCAAAACACTACAACCCCCCCTTCCAGCATGGTAATGCTACATCCTGCAGACTTGTAAGTCACCGTGGCCACCTCTCATGCATCCGGCGTGACACTCACACTTTCAGACTGTCACACTTAATTCTTAAATCTTACGGCAAATCTATATAATTATTATGAACCTAAAACTAGTTGCATCAAAAGCATTGGGGTAGTTTGAAAACCCTACATACTATTTTCAAGGTAAGAAAAGTGTTACACATGTAAATGTAAGTGCAGACTAAAATTAAAAATCTCACGCAAACTAACTGACCAGCAACCCAGGTAAGCAGTAAGTTATTGTATCAGTATGTACCTGTTTATATTCAAATAGGATAAATATGGAAAGCTACATTCAACCCACTAAGACGGGATGATGAAGCTGAAGTTTTACAAAATGAAGACTATATTAATGAGTATTATATTAATGAGTACTATATTAATGAGTATTCCCATGCTGCAGCAATGTGGGTACAAGACAGGGTTTAGGATGTAAGTGGCATCTCTGGAAACCTCATGCATGTGAGATGTCTGTGGCATGGGCTTCTTAGTGACAATGAGGCCCCAGACCTCAGACAGGGTATGTTCACTCTACTCATAGAATTTATTCATTGCAGGAGATTGTAAAATGGCTTAATTAAAAGAGCCAATCTGTTCCAACTGTCATGTGGATGTAAAACGATGTTTAGTGGGAGGGGTCGTGGATGGGATCATACCCCCCAGTTGTGGTCAGGCCTGAGCAGCTCCAGGCAGACAGGTTCTCACATTGGTTGCATTTGAACCCCCCCCCCAAAAAAAAGGCAAGCAGATCCCCTATGGATGGCGAGAGGCAGCTGGGATGGCCCTCCCCTCGCCAGCTGCTTCTGTCATAGGCACTTCTCCTCGTTGGGCGTTGCACGGCTCCCCAGGGTGGGTTGCTAGGCAACGCTGGCTCCTTTTAATATGCGCGGCAGAAGGAGCGGGGAATGCCTCGCGCTCGTGGAGCTCCACCACGGCAGCGTGGAGACCGCGCACGGACGGAATCAGGTCACTCGCCACGGCAACCCCCCCCATCACCACCGACGGACGGCTGGGCTTAGGACCTCGCCGACTCGCCACGGCAACAGCTCTGCCCGCCCGGTAACGGCTGGCATGGGCACGGCGTCATCCAGCGGAGCAGGCAGGGGGATCTAAAGGGGGCGGTGGCGTCCTGACGAGATTGAAGTCAAGTGAAGCGAGAACACGGGTTTGACATACTGAAGGAGGGGGCGGTACCCCCCCGGCCCGCCCCTCCCAGCTCCAACACCCAGAATCCCATCTCTAGGCACCGCCGGAGGATGACAGCAGACGTCCTGCCTGCCACTTGCGGGGACTCCTTGTGCTCTCTGGACCAGCAGTCCGCACCAGCATGTCCGATGCCATGCTCCTCCTGATGCTGGGCCAGGTGAGTTGCTGCTACGTCTTTCCTCTGGGTGGTTCCCTAGGGCTGCAGGAAGATCACAGCATGACGGACCTGCTGGTCTTTCATGGACCAGCTAGATAACACTGCCCGCATTTGCTTGGGGTTTCGCATGTTGTGGCTTTGAACAGAATCCCCCCCCCCCTTTGTACCTTTGTCTGATTTCTGCACTTGCGAGGCTGCTGCTATACACATTTATGAGACCATACCTTTGCATCGTGAAAAATTCAGCAAGATATACTGTTGCTTCTTTCAGTAATAATGGTCATCGTTAATACTTTTTTGATTCATTACTGTACTGTAACTATAAATACAGTTTTGGATAATTAATGGTCGATAAGTCGTCGTCTGGCTTCATGTATTATTAACTGCAAAATAATCAATTTTCACTTGGAAATGTCTTGGGAATATTTTTGTCTGTGTCCTCAACTTGTAATAAAACGGAGATGCAATGTGGATGAAACATGCAGTTTTATCTGCATATTTCTCTTGAAATGCGTTCTAGCTGGAAGTTTTACTGTCACTGACTGTCTTTCCTAGAAATTTTTACTTGCAGTAAAATTATTCATATATGATTGTTTACTTATTATTTATTCATAACCACCATCACCCCAATAATCCAAAAAAAAAAATCATTCATCCAGATGCGTGTAGCTGGTGAGGGGGGGGAAGCAAGGAGCGCAGAAGCAGGGGAGTAATGTTAGAAGTGTGGGAGAAGCTTGTCAGAAGGACGGCTCAGCCTGTCACGGCAGGCTTACCTGCTGAAGGCACAGAGCACGCTCACCTCCCAGCACAAAATAGCTTCCTAAGCTTCACCCACCCCGAGACGTCCTGAGTAGGTGGTTTGGAATTGGGAAGTTCATCTCTGCTTCTGAACGGTAGCTCTGGCAATGCCTGCTCAATACCCATCACCTGCAGCCTAGATCTGAAAGTCCAGATGGAAATCCACTGCTAGGAATACACAGATGTCAGAGGAAGCGCATCCATAAATAATGTCTTCTTCATATCATCTGTTCTTAACACGTTTTTCTGTTAAATGAAATCAGCTTTAGTATAACATGTAATGGAAATTACAGATATATAATATAAAGATATATACCATTAGACCCACAAAATAATGGCCAGCAACTCTATGACTATTATTAGTTCTACAAGTAATAATTAATATTGTCTTTTTCCACAAACATAAAGAAATGGACAAAGTTATGGATTAGTTTTGCCCAAGGGGTTTCATGACATTTCCATATGGGTCGTGAAATGTTTGAATGTTCTGAAGCTGGTTTGTTTGTGCCGTTCCTGGTCCGTCCCGATCCTCT